GAATGTAAGAAGGTAACATACATATAATGTAGTAATTAAGTGAACAACGCCTAAAATTACATAAAAATACGTATCAAAGTACTTGAAAATAGCGGACAATATGCATCCAAATGATGTCATGAGTACCCAAATCACAATTGGAGTCGAATCAAATAATGGAAATGTTAAGTTTGTCAAAACTACAGATCGAGATTTGAGCAAAATGCCCGCTGTGAATACGTATGTAAATAAAATATATGAGATGAAGCCTACTACGATCTCCGAAATAGACATTGTTGAATGTTCGTGCTGTAATCCAGTGATACCGTGACAGATTACAAATACGGCTGGAGTAATGAAGCATGGATCTATTACATCTAATATTAAACTACTAATATATAATAATGGAGTTGGAATTGTATATTTGACATGATTGTAGTAAATGATTCCAAAAATCCACAAAAATGAGAATACTGCAACACCTATGCAAATATAAATGTTAGTTGAATCTTTGGGTGAGTATTCTAATGGGTTTTGGAAGGTAAAAATCTTAAAAATTGTGTCATATAATGTTTTTCAGTGTCCTTTTGACCGTGAAAATGGTGGTGCATAAAGCCAAAACGCTATAGATAAAACCTGGAATAGCATAAATACAGCTAACAAGCTTAAAAACCAATCCGGAAACTTTGTTTTTTGCATCATTTGATCATAAATTGGAAAAATCATATCAACGGATGATGACTTTCCTTGGTTAAGGGCAGCTGCATCAATTCCACTGGTGCTTGTGCTCGACATGGAGCGGGATGTAGAAGGTTCGGCTTGGTTCATTAAATTGAATATCGTTTGTTTTTCAATTGAAGATGATAAACGTTAGTTAGAGAATTTTTGTGAAATCATTGGTGAGAGGGTTTCGAATTTGAATTAGTTTCAAAAATTTGAAAATGATTGAAAATGAATTGAAAAGGAATAAAATTTAAAATGGTTAATAAATTTATGTAGAATTATATTCTTAATGTAAGAGAATAAAAAAGTTAAGTGAACAAATAAATCAAAATTATAGTCTTTTCTGAATAATTAGTAATTAATGAAAGACTCATTATAGGCAAGATTAGTTGAATAATAATTGATTTTTATTTAAAGCAAAATTTCAAAATTTTTGAAAGGATAATTTGAGAAGAGTGATTTTGACAAAGCTGAAAATTACATTCACTCAATAAGACTTAAAGTGTATTGAATTTATTAACAAATTAAATTCAGTGAATTCTATACATTAAGTAACTGGATAAAAATATTGCGAAAACGCGACTAATTTCTAAAATTATTACGCTCTTATTTTTACGCTCCTTCTAATATTCAATATGAATTTTCAATTGACATTTAATGAATTTGTTTTTTATATGTTATAAACTACGCTTCTTAAATCATATTAAAAACAAAAACAAAAAATTCAATCAAAAAAATTATCAAAAATGCTAACGTAATCTATATTCTATTTATTTTTTAATGTATAAATATATGTCAATTACATATCATAATATTACATTTCAAATGAGTATTCAACAAATGGAATAAATTTCAAAAATTTATTTTCAATGATTTGGAGATCAAATTATCGTGCAATAGCATCACTGTAAAATGAATTATTCACTATTACTTGTTCTCATGAAATGAATTTTACAGTCATGCCAACATAACTTTAAGGGTCCATTGTAAGGCCAAATAAGGCCTATCGTCGTCCCAAAAATATTGCCCGAGATGGTGTTTTACTAAGGCCCAAAACTTAAAAAAACACAAAAAAATTAACTTTACTCGTTTGAGATCCTTATCAGATATGCATCAATTTGATGCAGTATCGCAGTTCGAATTTGATTTTTTAATGTAGATGTACTCTAACATTCTTGAAAAAATGCAAATTCATATTAAATAAGCTTTTCATTTCTGTATCATACACGAAACAAAATCATTCATCATATTAAAACATATCAAAGTTTGAATAATGAAAAAAATAATATCTAATTTTTGGCATTGAGTCGGCTATTGATATGATTAATATTAAATCTTGTAAGAATTGACATTGGCCATAATAATACCGAGTGGGGGACAAACTCGCCCATTGTCACTTTTTCATTAACCTTAAACTTGTAATTTTCATTATTTTTAATTAACCTTATTTCTTTCCCAATTCCTGATTTATTTTATTCACTTACTATTAAAAGTCACATTTTAATAAAATATAATAATTTATTTATAGCATTTTTTACTATACTGTAATAAAAAATTAATTATAATAAATTAAATGTTTATTAAATCAAATGTTTTCTTTGCAATAATATTTTTAATGTTGAGTAAACAATGTTGGGATCAAGTGTATCATTTTTCAGACCTTTCTGAACAGCTTCAAGCATACTGATGCATTCGACTTTTTTAAATTGTGTCATTTCTTCGAAATCTCTTGTGACTTTTTTGATAACTTTAACATTTCTCTCTGAATCCAGACCTTTAATTTGCAACTTAATCAGGAATGAAGGAACAACACTGGAATATAACTCGATGACAAGTTCATCGAGTAGAAGATTTCGCCTTTCTGGGAAGTACTGGTGCTTCAAAACCTTGAAATGTGATTCCGAGATGTTGTTTGTTCCATCTCCTTCATTTCTATAGCGAAGCATCCACCTGTCAAGATGATGGCGCCACTGTCGGTCAAAGTATTCACGGGCAGCAGGTTCCTCATTTAAAATTTCTTCTAAATTGTTGTAAACTTCATCAGGATCAATTTCTTCCTCTTCAGAACCAAAGACCAATAACTTCATTAAGTTATAGAAAGTTTCGAAGTTGGAACGATCTTGAAACTTTTCAGCCTTTCTCATGACAGCGCGCAACACATGAATGCCACACCAAATGATCTGGCATAAGGGGATGGCTGTTTCAACAGCATTTGTGATTTGAGGTGCGCAGTCCATTGAAAAATAAGATGGTTCGCGATTGATGGAGCCAAAATATGCTGTGAGACAAACTTGTATATTTTCACTTGTGTCGGGCCAAACGAAAAATACAAAAACGGAAAAACAATTGATTCCGCGAATTTGCCAGTGACGGCATAAAATGGTATGCGAGAGCGCAAGAGCTTATAAGTGGAATCAATGTGATAAGTTTGTATTTGATGTGAAAAAGCATTTGCTTCGAATGGGTCGTAATAGAAAATCATACGATCTGGCTCGTGAATAAACTCGATGGGATCATCTGGAGAATGACTCTTAACCATGTCGACAAAAATTGCAAGAGATGTAACATCATCCGCTGAGAAACGGGTATTGATTGCATGAAGGCGTTTAGAAAACTTTTTAAAGCATCTGTAGATTGTTGAAACATTTCCGGAATGATCCCACTATCAAATGGGATATTAAGATCTTTGAAACACCTTAATTGTGCGTAAACACGGTCTTGATTTGATTCAAAATATCTTGTTAAATAAGATCTATAAAAATATGATGTAATTTGTTGTGATTTGTTTGGAAAAGGGGCAGAATGATTGTGGGTGTTAATACATTTTCGTATGTGGTACTTGTCATCGGGAAGTGTATCAACAAGGAAGCGACATGGACAATTCGGCCACTTACAATTAAATTGGATTTGATTTCTTTCTTTCCTAGTTTTATATGAATAACTACAACCTGCTTGGATTTCTTGTTGCACTCCATACTTAAGCAACTCGATATATGTGAGTTCGTGATCTTGGATCTGCATTAAAATGAAATGATTTGAAAGAATAAAGAATTTTGAATATATTGGTCTTATTTTGATAAGCTTGGTCGTGTTTTGAATAGCTTGCCATCTAATTCAATTATGATCTTGAAAATAGTGAAATAAAACTAAACTAATGTAAAACTAGGTATATAAATTGGTTGTACACCACTTGTATGTGCCGGATACCATTGTGTCAAATTTTTTCTGAAATTAACTTTAAAAGTACTAAGTAAGATCATGAGATATAGCAATATATGTTTAAACCAACTTATTTGGTTGTACACCACTTGTATGTGCCGGATACCATTGTGTCAAATTTTTTCTGAAATTAACTTTAAAAGTACTAAGTAAGATCATGAGATATAGCAATATATGTTTAAACCAACTTATATTTTGGTTGTACACCACTTGTATGTGCCGGATACCATTGTGTCAAATTTTTTCTTGAAATTAACTTTAAAAGTACTAAGTAAGATCATGAGATATAGCAATATATGTTTAAACCAACTTATATTTTGGTTGTACACCAACTTGTATGTGCCGGATACCATTGTGTCAAATTTTTTCTGAAATTAACTTTAAAAGTACTAAGTAAGATCATGAGATATAGCAATATATGTTTAAACCAACTTATATTTTGGTGTGTACACCACTTGTATGTGCCGGATACCATTGTGTCAAATTTTTTCTGAAATTAACTTTAAAAGTACTAAGTAAGATCATTTATTTTTGCATAATATAATGCCAATATGGTTTCTTTTGATTTTATTTCATTTATAAGCAAATCAGATTTACCCAAAAACTCCACTCCATAAGCGTTCATTTGCTAAATTAAAAAGTGACAATGGGCTAGTCTGTCCCTTTCTCTAATAATACCCACTATCATACACAATTTGTAAAATTTTATCAATTTGTTATGGTATATCTTTATGCTACTGAATAAAATGATTATTTTTCATAAGTAAATACATAATTTATGCTTAAACACAAAAAATAACATGAAAAATTTTGGCCAATATATTAAAACTAAGGATAATGTTTTGAATATATAAACAATAATACTTTGTCTAAAGAATTAAATTTATGTTATCCAATTGTCAATTCTTTGAATTTTTTTTAAATGCAAGATATCCCGGCATTAGCTTCAATAAAAGCATTTGGAAATTTGCATGTAAAAAGATCTAAATGGATATGTGTATGCAATGCTTTTGTAATCTTGAATTAAACATCGCAAAGAGACTGGAGGCAGAAAATTTTAAGAAATCTCCAGATATATTCTAAGCTCTTATCCTTTCACGTTTCTGGTAAACTCCAATAAACGCATAGTTTTTGTTGAGATTCTTTTCAATATCAGTCTTGACTATGGAAAAAGGCCATAATTCGTAATTGGAATCATTGAGATAATGCCAAGCTCCTTCTTTATATTTGATTAAAATATAAAAATGCGCATAATGTTGAAATAGGGGATTCATGATGAAGGCAACAGGGAAATACGTTATCTCTGAGTTAAAAGAAAAATGTCTGGGAACTAAACATGTTTGGCAATCGAAAATCTCCAAAAATAAATATTCGGGAGCATTTTCTGGTCGACAATCATATGAATGCGATATCCAATTTAAGGATAACTTGTTCTCAGTTGCATAGACCAAATTATGGTAAAATTCTCTGCAGTTTATACCTATTGCTTCTTCATTTACTCTTGAAAAGATTTCAAAAAGAGTTTCAATGAAAACAATAGGTTCATCAGTTTGAAAATCTGGATCTAAACCACAGTAAAAGCAATCAAGAAATACGTCAATTCTTCCCAATTTATTGAATCCGCGATTAATCAAACCATAAAGGGATTGCATTGTTAAATATGCATGGTTTTCTTCGACTGTCATTTCATAATTTGGGATATTTTCTTTTTCAACGGATACCTCTTCCACTTTATGATGATTTATATTAGCAGACGACTTCTGCATCGCTGCAATCAATTCATCCCATTCATCTGGAGGTGAAGGTCTTGTACTTTCAATCAACTTATCCCACTCATCTTTCTCTTCACTGTTACGAGGATTAATATATCGAGATTGGCATGATTGCATTTCCGAAGTTTCAGTGTTTTGTTGCTCGTTAATTTCTTTTATTTGATGATTGTTTTTTGTCATAGAATCATAAAATGAAATGCATTTTAAAAGAATCTCATTCAATCGAGATTTGAGTTCTGGAATAAAAGTGAAAAGTTGAATGATGACAATTGCATAACAATATGCATTTTGGTTCCTGATACCGCATTTAAGACAAGGTTTTACTAAAAACCTCTTAAAATTGCATCCTTCATCTCCATCAATTCGAATTTCTAGATCGCATTTTTTGAAAGGTAATTCTTTCTTTATTATATGAACAATATTATTATTAAGTTGCTCTTTCTTTATCCCTATTTTACCGCTGATTATGTTATGCATAGCTGTAACACAGTTTGCACTGTTAAACACGCATAAAGCTCTATCGTTCATAGATCTGCAATAAACAAAATCAAGCTCATATATTATAAGTCTGAACATTTCCAGTGTAATCGAATCTGTGCGCGTAAAAAGCCATGTTTTAGATTTCCAATCAGATGGACAACCTTCTTTAAACTGGCCTAATATTTCTTTTTTCTTGCAATTGACAAGAACTTTTGGTTCATTCTGAGATTTATATTCTAAACCCAGTTAGTATCCCTATCTTGGGTACGGCGGCACTGCGTTCCACCTTACCCAAGATAACGGTTTGACACTTTACAAAACCATTAACGTATATTTTACAACACAAACGACAACACTAACTTAACCTTAAATATTTACAAAGCCACCAACCACTTCACCTCACTAATGTAAAAAATAAACGTTCTCACTTACAAAAGTATTGCAACTCCTCCCATTGCTGTGCTTCACATAACAGCTCATAATCTTCTGACTCACTTTCTTCTTCATATAGGTCAAAGTCACTGTCAAAATAAATGTTAGTAAGTTTTGACAAAGCTAATGAAACACGCTTACCGTTTGTATCTATTGCTTTTATATATCTCCCATTATGTTTGTTGTCATAAACGCTCAAACTAACTTTACCCTTTCTCCCTCGTATCTGATAGAATGTATTTTCACGAGGAACGAAGAACAAATTCTTGAACTCATGACCGTTGTAGTTTGTTATCTCAATAGTTTTCGTCATTTATATAAAAATAAAATAAAAAATAAACTTAAAAATTAATGATATCACCACCCTCACACGTATGAAAACATAGCACAAAAATAAATTTAGGTGAAGTGGTGAGATCTCACCTCTTTTTTCACCTCTTTTTTCACCCTGTTGAATTCATTGCTTTATAACTCACTTCCTTTCTCCAACTCTTCTAACTTCTTCCTAAGTTCAGCAATGTTGTCCTCATGAAGTTTAATCTTTCTCAAAATTCCTTCTCTATCTAATGGTTGCTTTATCTTTCTAAACTGAACTCTACCATCCTTCATAGTATGAATGTAAAAACCTTCTGGAATAGTTCCTGATTTAATGTATTCTACCAAAAACTTTTGTTTCATTGCTTCAGTGACTTTAGTCGTCATTTCAATCAAATAAAAATTATAATATTAAATAAAAATAACGTTATTTTTTCAGTAAGGAAACGCAGGAGTTTTACGATTTATTTGAGGAGTAGGTTCTGGTTTAAATGTTGGAGTCGGTTTAGGAGTTGACTTTTGAACAGGAGTTTGTACTTCCATAGGTTCAGGAGTCATTGAAGGTTTTGCTTGTGAAGGCGTTGGTTTTGGCGAAGGTGTTGGAGTTTGTTTAACTTCAGCTACTTCAGTATAGGGTGTCCAAAGGTGTGTTTAGCACAAACCTGAATACTGCGAATAGAAATAAACAAGTTACATATATATAAAGTTTATTTAAATATAATCACCATTGGATTCAATCACGCGTTCGCAGCGATCGATCCAGGCTTGAAAGACGCGCTTTAAATCATCATGAGAAAATTGCTCAAATTGCTCTCTTACAAAATTTTCAAGATCATCTGGACTCGCGAATTCGCGTCCTTCAGCTCTCTTTTTTAGCGTGCCGAATAAATAAAAATCAGAGGGTGCAATATCAGGTGAATAAATTGGGTTTGGAACAACTTTGACATTGTTTTCCACCAAGTAATTCATTACCTTATGACTTTTGTGAACTCTTGAATTATCAAAATGAATTGCAAACTTTTGTTTTTGTTGTTTGGATTTCTCAAACTCATCAGAATTGATAATTTGAGTAAGAACATTGTCAATTAGATACTGAGAATTCATCGTATTAGGTTTTTGAAGAATATCAATTGCGATGATGCCATTCACGCCCCAAAAAACCGACAACATCATCATTGGTGTGTCAATTTTTTTCTTCGGGAATGTTTGCGGATTTTCATCCTTCGAGATCCACATGATTTTGGCTTCTGTTGCATATTGAAACCAAGACTCGTCCCCTGTTACTGCGAAACTTCTTGGATTGATACGCACCCAATATAGAGAGGAGCTCTTTCGAAGATTGGACTCTAGATTTTTTTTGAACTGAATTAAGGTTGTGCGGAACCCAACGTGTATACGCTAGTTTGTAGTTCAAATAATTGTGCAGATAATAACTGACTGTTGTACTTGGTATCTTTGTCATCTCCTCTATCCTTCTGAGTGATGCTCTTGGGTCTTCATCTAGCGCTTGAAGAATTGCTTTGATTTTTCTTTGATCCGGCGATTTTTTGTCAATTTTTATGATGGGCGCCTTTTTGTTCATGAAGTGATACATCCTAACATGATACGTTACAGTGGAATAGCTAGGAGCATCCATACCGAAGCATTTTACCAATGTCTCGTAGATTTTTTTACAGTCTTTGCATTTTTTTGCAAGAGCGAGGATGTTTTCTTTATGATTCATTAAAAAAATGAAAAAAATCCCGCCAAAATTTCCCGCGAAACCGCCTCTTGTCTCAAAATTCATTTTATATCCCGGCATGGCGCCAAAATACAACATACTCATCATATACATATATTCATATTTTTTATTATATATTTATAATCAGCATATATCTCCTTTAATAGTCTCATATAGAGCGCTGTGCTAAACGCACCTTTGGACACCCTATATGTCAAAGCTGAATACATAGGAAATGGAAAGAATTTCAATGTTGATATTTCATTTAGAAGTGTTGTTAATAAGTTCCCGAGATATCCTAAAGACAAAATATTAGATCCACAAGGAAGAAGAGTTATTAGAAGAAGTGGTTATGATGATAAAACTAATAGAAGTGTTTCAGAAAATTCTGGATCTCATTCTAATTCTGGTATGAGTTTTGATAGTTTATCAATTGATTTCGAACATCAAGAAATGATTTGTAAGAAATACTTGAGAGATTCGAAAGTAAGACTTGCACTCCATCATGGTGTAATGGGTATGAAACCAATACAAGCTAAGTTAATTGTAGGAGCAGCAACGTTAATTATTATTTCTGTTTTCCCTGTTTTCATTGGTTTCTATGTTTATTTCATGCAACATGTTGAATGGAGAAAAGGATCTTATTATGATATTCGTTCACAAGTTTATTCTCTTTTCTTCACTCATTACGCTAATTTCTATATATTGATGGGCTGGGCAAAAACTGTTAATAGATATGATGATTCAACAGCTATTCTTGGTAATATAACTATTGATGAAAAAACAACAAAACCTGTTGTTAATGATTAATTAACTTATCCTCAGAAAATTTATTACGCAATTGATTTTTCTGACAAAAGTTTGTGGACTTTATTTGACAGTTTTGCCACTTTAGCAACAACAGAAAATGTTTATACAATTGCAAGTAATTTGTTAAAGGATTCATCAGTACTTAAAGTCTGCACAAAAGGAAAACCATCACAAGATTTATCCGCAACTGTCAAAGACCAAATCATTGTCATCAATTTCTTCAAGAACCAGTTTGCAGGTGATTTGGCTCTCAATGTTAATTATGAGAATCTTTATGCAACAAATGAATTTTGCCAGATTTTGACAAACACTTTTGTTTTGTCAGAAACTTCGACGGTTTCTTTACAATCCATTTTGAAATACAATGTTGATAAAGCAGCTCCATACACTAAGTACTACAAATTATGGGCAATTATTGGATCCATTGTTATCTTTTTTTTCAGTTGTGTTCCTGCTTTAATTATTATTAACACATATAATGCATTTGTCAACAAAACATTACAAATGTTGTTGAGTTTGCCAAATAATATTAAAGAAGATTGCAAGAAACCATTAATTTTAGAATCACAACATGATGGAATAACAAATAACACTAATACAAAATGCAAAGAATCAAAGATCATGGATCATATCGCGAAAGCTTTCTTCTTAAGTTTATTCTCTGTCATTGCTGTTTTTTGTGTTATTTGTTGGTTGGCGTGGTCATTAAATGAAGATTTGACAATGATGTATAAATGGTATTACTTGAGTTGCGAAAGAGTTTTAGCTGCAACACAAATCGGAAACAACGTTGTCAATCTGATTTTGTTGAATGGATCATTACCACAACAAATCATGTCAACAGATGTTCTCGAGGACAGAGCGAACAAAGATTTGAAACAATTATTAGAAAGCAACAAGAAAATTGTTGATGGTGATGAAAACGTAGAAAAAATGACAGGTTATGATGATACAATGGATAATTATCAATTAAAAGAAAGCTGTAGTTTAGGAAGAGATCCAGTATCCGTACATGATATGTACGCATGTGCTGGATTAGAACAACAAATAACTATTTTCAAAAACATGGTGAATGATATCCTGAAGAATCCAGGAAACTACAAAGGAGCAATTAATAATGAAGTATCAGGAAATGTTGCTCACATCTTACAGTATCATTTCTATCCGAAAGTTATTGCAGCAACAACGAGAATGAGAGATATAATCGAAGATAAATACAACAAAGACACAGAACTCATTCTTATTTTGACAATTGTCGGATTAGTTTTGACAATGATCATGTTTTCAACGCCATGGCTATTCCAATATTTCTTAAATGAGAACTACAAACTATTGTTAATGTGCTTTAAGCATATTTCACCTCAAACAATAGTAGATACTCCTGAAATTATGGATTTCTTCACACATACGAAGAAATCATCGAAGGCTGAGCAGATGATTATTAGTAAATCGATAGTTATGGATGCAAGTGAGTGTATTATCATCACAACCCAAAATTCAATTATCGAAATTATTAATACAAGCGTAACTCAGAACTTAGACTGCACCCCTGACCAGATGCTTGGTCAGCATATCGCAAACTTCGTAGTTGATAAGGATCAGCAGCGTTTTAACCTGGCTATTGACTTGATGATGTCGGGCCAAGGTTCCCCGGTATGGCAAGACCACGTTGAGTTGGTAAATGAGCTTGGAGAGACTATTCCTTTCGCCGTTACTGCTATAGCTATGAACGATAAGGATGATTCGAGCTCATCGGAATTTACATCAATTTGTTTTATCTTAACAAATGAAGCCGATGAAATTAAAAAGAGACAAGATGCAGAAGAAGCTAAAGCAAAGTCCGAAAAGCTCTTGTATCAGATTTTGCCAAAAGATATCGTTATTAGACTAAATAGAGGTGAAACTGATATCTCTTTCTCGATACCATCTGCAACAATATTCTTTATTGATATCGTTAAATTCTCTACTTACACTGCAACTTTGACACCGTCAGAAATCATGTCAAATTTGTCACTTGTTTTTGCCACTTTTGACAAAATTGTTTCTGGATACGAGTCGATAACAAAAATCAAACTTATCGGTGATGTCTATATGGCAGCAGCCGGTTTGTTCCAAGATCCAGACAACCAGACACCGAAAAATGCAGAAGATGCTGTTAGATGCACAATTCAGTGTCAAAAGTCGATGGATGAGATTAACATGAAGTTAAACTCATCACTCGAAGTGAGAATTGGTGTTAACTCAGAAGGACCGTTAATTGGTGGTGTCCTGGGAACAGATAAACCAACTTTCGATATTATTGGTGATCCTATCAACGTTGCAGCCCGTTTGCAATCAACAGATGTTCCTGGTAATGTGCAAATATCAGGTGCAACTAAGGAATTGATTGAAAATTTGGATTTCGAGATCCAAGAAAGAGGTGAAATTTATCTGAAAGGTAAAGGTAACCAATTGACATATTTCGTTACAATTAGGGAGAAAACCGAGTTCGAAGGTTCATTTGCACTTAATATTGCTGACACAGCTAAGAAATGAATTTATTTTATTATTATTTTTGTTTTTTTCATTCTTAAAGTTATTATTTAAACTATCTTATGTTTTTATGGAATATGTACAGCGTAAAATCCTTAAAAAGCCTGACATTAGAGTTCCGATAGAGTCTCTAAAAGAGATTAGTACGTGAGTAAGGCGATTTAATAAACAAAAGAAAGAAATAATTAATTTTTTTTTAACTTCGAAAAGATTGTATGAAAGTGTCTTTGATTGTAAGATACATTTAGATCGACAAGAGTGTATTGTGCACTCTTGTCGGTCAAACTTCCGCATTCAAGTTATGAATGCGGAAGATTGTCTCATTCTGGGAGACATGCAGTGACAATGTTTGCGTAATTCGATCATTTAAAATTTATGAAATTGTTCAATTCATTGTTTCACTCATTATTTGAAACATTATTTTTCTTTCACCTTGAATTGTTATTTTAGTTCCAAATTTTAATCCACCTTTAGATATAGTTTAATCAAATTGTTTTAAGAAAGGTGGATTAAAATTTGATCGAATTGAAGTACTCAAAAAATTTTGAAGCAATTTTTGAATCACAATTTATTAGGTGTAATTGATAAAATATAAGGTCCGACTTTTTGTCTAAATAAAGGTACATTCACTATTTTTGACAAAATTTTAAATTTTCATGGGGTTGTAAATCTTATAATAACTAGATGAATAAGGAATGAATCCCAGTATAATGTGCATCATTATATTAAACACTATATGTAAGGCTAATGATTCTATTAACACTTATGAAGATCTATAGTATTTGAGCAGATAAATTTGATAATTTCCAAAACTCTTATATTTCAAAATTAAAGTGTGCGAATGCATTTAAATGAGAGCAAAAAGAGATTGATGCTGTTAAAACTATGTGTTAATTTGCAATTATTTCGCATCACAAGAACTACCCAGTAAATTCGGCTATCTTTCTTTGCAATTATTCTCCATTATACATATAATATAATGGTTAGGGTTTGAAGAAAAGTTACTAGAGAATTATTGACTTTTGAAATAATGCAGAATTTTACTTGAAGAAATCATTAATTTATGAGTTCCAAATTGCTAAGCATGACGAAGGATCATTAAATTTGCTACAATTAAATACACTTATTGCAGAATTAAGATTTTTGAAATTAATTGTTGAAACTAAATGGCAAACAATATCGCAATTCTTTAAAGGTAGAACTAACACTAATTGTAAGAATAGATGGCTCGCAATGAAGCGTGAAGAAATGAAAAATTCTAGGGTCGTTATCGATTTTGTAATTTAATCGTTATCGTTATCGATTTTGTAATTTAATCGTTATCGTCTTTTTCTAAACGTGCATTTTGGAACTAAATCGCATATAACTTTAAAATGACTTAATATTTAAAGGTTTATGTGGTAAATATCAACGAAATGTAATATTAATATGTGCACCATATATGAATTACAGACATTTGAGCAATTCGAAATTTCATCGCGTTAAATATTCATTTAAATTCGATCAAATCAACATTGCAATTATAAAACCATTACACATCCAGTCAATATTTTTCAATTTCATGCGAATTATATCATTATTACACATTTTAAAATGGCGAAATATAGTCCAAAAAATAAACTTCGTTTTAAACTCAATTCTCACACATATTCGGATTAAATCATATGTGACTCATATGATCATACATCTCATTTGAGGTCTAAAAAATGATTTACCGAGAAAACTTGCATTCGAACTAAAATTTACTAAATTTAATCAAATTGGTTTACAAACGTAAAGTTTATGCCAAATATTTACGTTTGTAAACTAATTGAGTAAATTTATAGCACTTTTTTTCTCGATGCAATAATTTGAACTACGAGTTTACCAAATTAGTTTACAAACGTAAAGTTTATGCCAAATATTTACGTTTGTAAACTAATTGAGTAAATTTATAGCACTTTTTTCTCGATGCAATAATTTGAACGACAAGTTAATGTAATTAGTGTTCTCATGTTTACAATTCAATATGTCTATGCATATGATATATGCAAATTCTATAAATAAAATATTATTAAATAAAATTCTTTTCAATTCCTTAAAAATATTTTGATGCAAATAAGATTGTATACATATTTGCATTATAAACGTTTCATTAACAATGCATAAACATAAACATGTAAAAATCTTGCAAAATAGAATTTTTCAAATAAAAATATAATGTAATTTTAAAATAAATAACTGGTTTGGGTTAAAATTTCTTGAAATATAACTAATTTTGAATCAATATTCAATTTTACCTGCCAACCTTTTAAAACCAATTAATATTCAAACACATAAATTTATAATGCTACTTTTTCATAAAAAGATTTTGAAAATATAATTTACTTTTTTTTATGAAAATAACATGTGAATCAATATACTTTGAACAATTTTTATATTGATTAACCAGTAATTTATACAAAGGATCTATGTTGTATATTTATGCACCAAAAATACCGAATATTAATCTAATTTTAATCAAGAAACTCAAATTCGACAAATGATTGTTTTATTTGGATTAACTCATAAGACTGTTACAACGAATCATTCATATAGCAGCTGAAAGCAAATAAAAAGAAGGAAATAATTTTTCCAAATAAAATATAGTGAAATAATAACAAAACATTAGTACCACGAATCATTTAAATTATCTGAATCATTTAGATTTTCAATAATAAAAGTTCGAAGATTATAACCATTATTTTAGAAAATTACGAATTTATCAAAGAAATCACTCTATATCAAAATATTATCTTCCACGCTTGTAATAGATAGAAATAAAGATTTCCTGTTAACATATTATCTTCTTCTCCTCATAATATCAATATTGAAAGAATTCATAAAACAACAATTCAAGAAGTTTGTGGAACAGTTAGAAAACGTCACAACTATTTAAGTTGCGCTAGCTTTAAATAACAGTTTTTATTAATTCAAATTAATTTATTAAACTTGATTTTGAAATTTAAAAATATATTATTATTGATAAGACAAGGAATGTTTCATTTGTTGATTAATCTTTTGTTTTATTTAATGAGATAGACTGTAATGAATTGAATTTTATAAGATAAAATTATTGAATGCTTTCATTCAAATATGAAATGTATTGATATATCCATTTAGGAATTTGCTGAATTATCAAAATATTAAATGAATGAGATAAATTGAGTAAGATATTTTGAGTAAAACCGTTTACATCGCCCGTTTTTTTGTAAACCCATAACAATTTTGAGTCAATTACACAAAGTATTAAGGGTGCACCCGTATGTACGTTTATTTGAGAGGAGGAGGATTATCCTCTCAATTTTGAGGGATTCGTTAGTTTATTTTCTTGTTATAGACCGAAAATAGATTTTTTCGGTTTTCTCTTCAAATAATTGAAAGAATGATACTATTATAGGTTTATTATATTATATAGCATATAATCATGCTATAGCCGAAAATTATAAGTTTTGAGAAGATTGAATATAACACAAATAAATTTGAATGTAAGTTAAATTGCTTGTTGTTTTTAATAGCTATTTAATGAGAAATCCAATATTGCAAAATTCAAATTGAATGATTGAAAGAACAGAAAAAGTCGTTCTTTTCAATTTCGAATATGTTTCATTGTATTTATAATTATATGGCAAATAAGATATTTAAACTTGATTTTTGAAGGAAAATTCACAAAATTGAATAAATTCAAATAATTTTTATTCAAAAATAAACTAGTTATTTGAGTTTAATACTAATTATCTATTCAAACTACAAAGTTTGTAATTTAAAATATTTTGTGAGATCAGATTGAATTAATTCAAGGTTCTTTTCAATTAATATTAATGACCATATTACGCATTTTCGAACATTCTAAACCAAATATATAAAAATGGGAGACGAATGTTAAATTTGCTAGACATGGGGGAGTTGTCTGCAAAGTTTTAGCTCTTATCTCTAACAAAAAATTAATTTTTAAAAAAAGACCGAATACGTTTCACAGCGAGAAAAAAATAAAAGGCAAGATAGAATTTTCTAGACATAAAGAAGTTGTCTACCAAGTGTCAGCTGTTACTTCTTCTCAATACTGATATAGAATAAAAATCTTTATTATTTATTTAACCTTTATTGTTTCATTAAACTTCATTTATTTTATATTATAGTTTTATTCTTTTAGCTACTTGTAAAATAATCTAATTTTATATCATCATTTTACCGGATTATTCTTCAGTACATCGATTGTGTATCTAAAATAATATCATTATCCTTATTCTGTTTTTTCCAAAATTCTTTTAAATATCTTTTTTGGTTAGATTACTTTATACTTTTTACTTTTATTTTTTAATTTCAAAAAAAATTTGGTGATTGTTCTATTCTGTTACAATGTGCATTATCATATTCTAATGAATTATTCATTACATACATTTAAAAAAACTTGTTAAAAATGAAATTAAAAAATTATGTTTATTATTACGCTGTGAATGTGTCAACAGCGGTCATGCCTGTATCTGTATCCCATATTTGCCACAACCTTTCTGTATCTGCATTTGTGTATTTCGGTTTCAGCTGATACATTTGATTTGGCGTGTAATTTGTTCCAGTTAATGGATTAATTGGGAGATCTTAGTTAGTATGGTTATCAAGTGTACTGAGGCACTGCATTCCACCATAACCAATACTTGTGAATTTGACACTTTACGAAACCGGTAACGTATATTTTACAACACAAACGACAACACTAACTTAACATTAAATATTTACAAAGCCGCCAACCACTTCACTTCACTAACGTTTTCACAAACGACTTCACTAACAAATTCCCTACCGTCCTCACTAAATAAAAATAACCTTATTTTTATTTTTTTTAAATTTTTTATTTCATTACAAAGACATGTCCGACTACATTTACTATGACTCTTTCCCAGAACGTTTCCGTGAACTATTCAAAACTCAAGTAAAACTGAGAAACATGCATTTTAACAAAGACAGACCCATTGACGATGAAAGAAACCCTGAATATATTACAATCCCTTATGACGCAAAGTTCATTGCATACATTCCTTATGGTCGCAGAGGAACAAAAACTATTTCAACAAAGAACAAAAATTATTTCTGGAGCGATGAAGAAAATTGCCTTATCTACATAAATACATACTTAAATAAAGCTACATATTGTACAAAAGAAGGTTGGACTGGATTTGAGCTCTACATATACGACGACGATGGAAACAGACGTTGTGTATACCCATACGATAATATGTACCATTGTTTTCATCAAGCATTAAACGAATACATAGTCAGTAAGGGTCTCATTCCTGTTGAGTAGAAATGTTATATTTTTGTTCTGTCATTTATAAAAAAATAAAATAAAAAAATAAATGATATCACCACTCCCACACGTATGAAAACATAGCGCAAAAATAAATTTAGGTGAAGCGGTGAGATCTCACCTGTTTTTTCACCTCTTTTTTCACCCTGTTGAATTCATTGTTTTATAACTCACTTCCTTTCTCCAACTCTTCTAACTTCTTCCTAAGTTCAGCAATGTTGTCCTCATGAAGTTTAATCTTCCTTAATATACCTTCTTTATCTAATGGTTGCTTTATCTTTCTAAACTGAACTCTACCATCCTTCATAGTATGAATGTAAAAACCTTCTGGAATAGTTCCTGATTTAATGTATTCTACCAAAAACTTTTGTTTCATTGCTTCAGTGACTTTAGTCGTCATTTCAATCAAATAAAAATTATAATATTAAATAAAAATAACGTTATTTTTTCAGTAAGGAAACGCAGGAGTTTTACGATTTATTTGAGGAGTAGGTTCTGGTTTAAATGTTGGAGTCGGTTTAGGAGTTGACTTTTGAACAGGAGTTTGTACTTCCATAGGTTCAGGAGTCATTGAAGGTTTTGCTTGTGAAGGCGTTGGAGTTTGTTTAACTTCAGCTACTTCAGTATTATTTACAACATTTGCTTTATTTCTTTTCAACATCATAACTGCTCCTGCTGTAGCTAGCAAACCTAGTGGGAGACCATATCTTATATAAGGACTTGACCAAATGCTATTTTTGACAGGAGCTGGTGGAACACCTAACCTTGGTGAGACTGCTCTTTGCCATTGTGCAGCTCGTAAGAAATATTCAATAGGTGCTCCATAATCGTTTGGTAAAGTTTGTTTCATAGATGGTGAAGGTTCACGAGAGCTTGATGAAGAACTCATTTATAAGCTTTAAAAATAAACGTTCATCCTTTATTCCTCACTGTCGTCAGTTGCTAAGTTATAGTCATCTAATCTTATTATGGGGATGCCATTAGCACGCACCTGAATGGCAAAGCAACAATCCCTCATAAATCCAATAAGTGGCTTTGGTACATTTTCAGTTGCTAGTTCAATAGGTCCTTTAACAGACAATTTGTATGTTATTGGAGCAGTAGATGTTTGACCTTGCTGGAAGCAAAAGTCCACTTCAGTTGGAAAACCACATAAGAAATGTGTGTTGTCATAGCTATCCCATTTATGTTCCACACTACCATCATCCACCAATGACCTCATAACATCTTCATTAAATCCTATCATATCATTGTTTGTATTGCAAGCGTTCGCAACCATTTCATAAAATACAGGTCCATATGATTTTTCGGGTTCTGCAGGCATATTTCCATAAGCTCCCATGGAAAGCTGAAGATATTTAAACTTAGGGTTCTCAAAATTAACATAATAGTTGTCTTTCTTTCTAAATAGTGCCCAAATACTTTTAACATTAATAGGCGTATAAGCTGCTGTAAATGTTGCACTTGAACTATCTGTATTCTTTGAAAATGAACCATCCATAGGAATCCAATCCATAACTTTAACAGGAAAACATAAAGCCTCGTTTGTATAATGTTCTACAAGTTCTGTATAAATGTTAGGGTCTAAAGAGAATGACTTTGGATGAATGAAACATTCATTAAAATCCATCTTTGTTCGAAATAGTTGCTGGGTTACAGTTGTAATAGTAACTGTTCCACTAGCTTCTACTGCCTTCGTTATCATAGTGAATGGTTCATTCCATGGAACAAATTTATTTGTCGGTGGATTTGAATCTGAAGCAAATGCAACTTTAAGAGTTGGATTGAAAGCAATGATATCATTTACAGATATAGATGTGCATTGTAAGGCGTCGCTACTGAACTTTACTTTAAGCTGAATGTTTCCTGCAAAAGCTGGAATAAATCGAATAGCTTCTAATGGAAGGAATCTTCTAACAGGAATTCTTAAACGAAGCTTAAAATCAAATGATTTTCCTGCTGTAATTGGACCACTAACAATTTGTCCTGTTCTGCATGTTCCCGAATGACTCCATACATCTTCATGTCGAGTCTTTGAGAAAACATCTACTTTCTTTATTTGTTCGGTAGTTTGTGAGTTTGAAGTTATATATGCTTCTTCTCTTGCGTTGTCTTGAGAATATACGATACGACCATTTGCAAGGATTTGATATCCAGCAACTGCATAGAAAGCGTCATCGAAACCAATCCAAAATCCTGGTGGGTTTGTTTTATTGGAACCTGAACCAATTTCTTTATCTACAATAAATTGACCTTCCATTTTATACGTAATGAATGTATTGTAAAGGTCCAACATATTTTCACCAGGAGGTGAGAGATTGAATGTTACCCATGTGTTATCTTTAGCAGTTCCAGGTTGTGATGGAATCTTTGCGTCAGAATATTTTCTATTAGTGTCACCAATTTGAACTGCATTGTCTATGATATCGAAATATGAGCGAATCTGATGAATATGCTCTGCTGGAGTAAATTCGTTTAACTGTTCGTTCTGCATGTATTTACTTCGGATAAAAATATCTATTTACTTCATTATTCTCACTCTTCTTCTTGGCATTCGTGGTGGAAGTTGTTTCTTGACATTTTCAATGAACTGTACATTCTCTTTTGTCTCAACTTCTTTCACTGGCGGGTCAGGGTTCTTTGACTCGGTTTGTTTTTCAATGAAATTCACAAACTTTGCAATAAGCTCTTGGTTCGTTATTGAAAGTACATCTGGCTTCTTTTCTTCTTGTTCTATTGACTTTTCAGTTTGAATAGAAGGCTTAACATGGGCTTCGTGGACTTCACCCTTGCCATACACCTTAATGTTGTCGCTTTCTGCATTCGCTAATGGAACCTTTCTTTTTCTTACGTATATTTTACCATCTTTACTCTGACTTACGTAATAGAAAGGATGTTGTATTCCTCTGGCGTCATTTAATATAATAGACTCTCGCTCTGATTTTGACAAGCTCATTTTACACCGGTTAAAGTTTTAATTTTGTTTTTTATCTGCAGTCAAATGACTCAGACAAGCCCTACGGACAAGACCCAAGGGGTCATAGATGTTGAAGCATTGAAGAAAGAAATTCGTGAGCAAATTTTATCCGAACTGAAGGAACAAAAACAAGAACAAAAGCCAGAGAGACCAAAGAGAAAACTTAGTGAAAAACAACTTGCTGCATTAGCTGCTGGAAGACAAAAGAACCCACGTTTGCTGGCGAAGAAAGCTAGAGAAGAAGCTGAAGCAAAAGCTAAAGAAGCTGAAGCAAAGAAAGAGTAAATGGTTTATTTTTATCCGAATTAAATGTATAGACAAATACCTTATCTGTTGCGTTCAGTAGTGAAAACCCTGACGTCAAAATAAAGGGGAACAGAGTAACGTTTAAGTTTCCAACAGACTGGATTGTGAACATTAATGAAGAGAAGTACATTGGCATAACATCTATGTATATAACACGTGCTTTCAGAAAGGTTGACTTTATACTTCAAGTCGAGATAGAAAATGACGAACAGTCTTTAAGCGCCCAAAACATTCACATATACAAATACTTTAAAGACGATACAACATTGTTGCAATGTATGATTTCCTTCAATGAAATGTTCGAGAAAAAGTTCAACATTGAAGTACAAACTTTACAGCCTTTACGTGAGTTTTTTGCACAACTGAAGGAAGAAGGTAGTCGGCCACAACTTATAGACTTTCATTATGAATTTAATGAAAATGAAGATGGAACTCATGACTGTCAATTCATTGTATTCTCACCATTCAATGAAGTAGCTAAAAAGAAAAAAAATCCATTACGTATAAGATTTCAAATCTCTGAACCAAATGATGACTTCAAAAATGTTTCAATTATTATGCAATGCTTCCGAGGAAAATGAATTTTCAAAGATTGTAACACCTGGCATTTGGATAGAAAGCAAGCTATATTATATTCAACTTAAGTAAGGGAGTTGAAAATGAGTTCATTGGTCATACAAGAACTTCACCACTGCCAAATCCTAAGTATTACAAGCTTACTGGCTTCAATCGTGAGTTTTGGATAGACATGTTCTCCACTCATGACCATAAAGCACCTGTTTTGCTACCTCCAGACCATAAGGACTGTCTCTACATTGAAGCACAACTCTTAAACTCTACATCGCAGTATTGTAAATGACCTCATGGGCTTCGCCCTTGCGCTAGCGGCTTATTTTTATCACGAATGACCTCATTGCTGACAAAATAAATGACCTCAGAACTTCAACTTACGAATAAAGCTTGTTTTAGTCGTTATTGAGAAGTTAAACTTCTCGTCAAATGCAGGTGTAGCAGACTTACATAAGTCAAATCCAATCTCTTGACCGTCATAAAGTGCTTTATATAACTTCATAACACTGAACTCAGAGTCTTTGTCAAATTTTCCTTGCGGAACCATTAAACCTTTATCTTCATCATAGAAACACTGAACAGAGTCAGGAAACATTTCATTAGCGGTTAAAGCAATAACATCTTGCTTCACGCCTTTCATTCTGCAGTGAAATGCAACTTCATTTAAATCATTCGTGAGTAAGTCTATGTAAGTCTTCTTTCCACAAAATATTGACTTGTATGCTAAACTTTGTTTTCCAGGTGTGATTTCTGCAAAGTCGCTATGAAATTGACCAAGGTTTTTACCAATGAGAACTCTTCCATAACGTTTCTCAAACTCTTCAGCTAAACGAGGATATCTTCATTGTAGAGATGCATACTGTCGGTATCGCTATAAAAGATGTCCATTCCTAAGTCCTCAGCAGTACAGAATACTTCACACATTATTCTCTTCGACATAGACAGAATGTTAACACCAAGTGGACAGAAGTTAAAGTGTCTGCAAATACTTTTCGTTAGCTTGAAAATAGTTTTATCTGAACCATCCAAACCTTCGAACTTCACTATATGGTTGTAGTTTCTGATGGCATATCTTATAGCATCTTTGTCATTTACTATGGTTATTTTTGACTCAATAGGAGATAGAATAGTTTTGCCATAAATACTGTTCAGAATGAGCTTTATATTTTCTTGCAAAGGATTTCCTTCTTTCTTATACTTTAACCTTAACTCAAACAACTTCTTTACTTCATCTCTTATTCTAATATCTCTGTTTCCATCGTAATAGTATCCTTGCAACACTTCACATTTGACACCTTGATATTTTATGAGGTCTTGTAATGTTATATGGTCAACATACATTAAACAGCAAGTGTTTGAACTTCTGGGAACATTAAGTTCTGGATTTAGTTCAGGGTCACAAACTATTAAAGGAAAGTGTCTATGTATTCCAATCTCTGTTATCTTAATGAGAACAAAGAAGCCAGACATAAACTTTTCACCAATGGGTTCCTTTTGGTCGTCATCGAATAAATGTCTCATGAGATACTCTGTGCTTAACATTTCTTTCTTCATAACCTTTGGAATACCTTCTAAAGTATAAAGTCTTGCTATAGCGGATGGATATAATGAAACAGCGTCGAAATCAGCAATGAGTTTCTTTTCGCTCTTTTGTTTAATGTTATCTGACAACATACATCTTCCACCTTGAATGCATCTCGAAATAAATTCTCTTGGTTTATTTGAGAGGTCATATAAATTTCCATTCGGGAAGTACACTCTGTTCTCAAACAATTTGTTAGCAATAGAACAAATACTAACGTAGTCATAAACGTTTAAATCAATTCTTTCAATATGTCATTGCGGAACTTAACAAAACCTTCTCTTAAAATTCTTACATCTTGTTTGCAATAAAATGTGCTATACTTTTCTAAGTCGAAGTGGTTCTCATCTATTCTGCAACCTTTGATGGAATCTATGTTCTTCATGAACGTATCTGCATCCTTGACAAACTTACATGCTTCAGAAATGACACCAGTTCTGTTGTCATTTGCTAACAAAACACTGCTGTAGTAGTTATATGGAAATACTTCTTTCGGTCCTGTTTGTAAGTTAAACATAGCAGGAAATAGTTTAAGTTTCTTATTTATAACACTGTAAGAGTCTTTTATAATAATTGCCCTTCCTTTATATAAGCCAGTTATTTGCATTGTTCGTGAACCTTTAATGATGGGAGTTCCTTTCACTTCTGTCATGTGTCTTAAGATGAAGTTTATGTCATAGCTGAGGTTATGGAAATATATTAAACTCTTGTCAGGAAGTCGCTCCAAAAATTCTGTTGCACAGTTCTGACCCCAAATGTTTTCACTCACTGAACCATCTTCACTGTCGTAACATATGTTAAAAGCTTTATGAAAGCCATCGGTACTACACTCAAAGTCAGCAAAGAAAACGTGCTCAGGAATGAACTTGCACTTATTTTTATTTACTTCTTTTGACTCTGCTTTCTTCTTCAGTTGTACACAATACTTTGGAGCATATGTCAAATCTTTAAATGGTGCAAGGTTCTGTTTATATAAGTCAGTCGTATATGTGAAAAGTTCTCCATAAGAAATAGGTTCGAAATATTTGCACTCCCACAATGTTTTCATAACATCCCATAGTGGTGTAGTTCTATCATAACGAACTACATATTTGTTCTCTCTCTTTGTATATATTTTCATCTGTTTCTCAATGTTCATTCCACCACAAGCTTTGAGAATTTCTATATAGTTGCGAATGAAATATGTTGTCATTGGAAGTCTTTCATTTAGCATGTAGTGGTCTTCAACAAGAAGTAAGTCAATAGTTCGAACAGTTTCACATTCTTTTGGTATGTATCTCTTTATTTCATTATGTCTTGAGTCATTGAAGTAACCAATGGTAACATTAAATGCTATACCTGTTGCGTCAGAAATTTCTTGTACTTTACTTTGAGGAAAGTCTCTAACACGAATGACTTCTCTCATGTGGTCAATAGTCTCTCCATCTACTCCAGCCTGAATGCAAGCATAAACGAAACAATTGTCTTCTGTCATAAGTGTTGCAGTTCTTTTGTTCAGTTCATTGAAGATTTGGTAGCGTTCAAGATTTATAGGTAATGTGCAAAGATACTTCCAGAACTGACCGCTTCTCTTCTTATAAAACTTCTTTTCACCATTATCTTTCCAAAAGCTTTCTATAAGTGCTGGGTTTCCTGTTTGCTTAAGAGCTTCCAAAATGGCTTTCTGGTCATTTGTCAGTGTGCTTTCATCTCTATATGGTCTCTTTTTTGGTTTGCCTTTCTTTACATCTGACATCGTTAAGCCTTCATATTCTGTTAAATCATACATCTTTATTTCGGTAAGATTCTTTATGTTTGTCAAGAAGAAGTCATAGTGCATTTCAACAATACCTGCAGCATTTGCTTCTATCTCTGATATAAAGTTCTCCTTCAAGAGCTGATGTAGTAGTGTTCCAAAATTATTGAGGTTTAACGTAGAACATTCATACTTTCCACCAAGTTTATAACATACCATCCATCTTTGTTGGGAGTTTATTTTAATTTTCTCTAAGAGTCTCATGAAAACCTTACCGAAATGTTTGTGTAAGTAGTCTCTGTTTGGTTCATCTAAAGCTTCGATGTTAAAGTCAATGAGTCTATTGCCTGACTTCACATTTCTCTTCCTATTCTCTTCATCTTTCTTTAACCATCTCTCACCTTCTTTTGGTTTGTCGTCAATGGAACGAATGACATCGTTAGCTTTGCGAACTTGTTCTATAGCGCTCTTAAACATCTCTCTTCTCTGTTGTTTCAGTGTGTCGTCTCTTCTTCTTGTTTCACCAACGTTCGCATTTGTTATGTCAAACATTTCTTGACGAACATCATGTGAAAGAGCTTTACGAGTATGACCAACGTTCGCATTTGTTATGTCAAACATCTCACGCCTTACTTCATGAGGTATTGAACGTCTATGATATAAGTCAATAGCAACGTCATTTAAAGGAAATGTTTTGTTATTAATGTAATCATGAATTCTATCATAACTTATTGCACCATTATAGTCTTTAATGAAGTCAGCGAGTGCTTTTTTGTTTGTTGCGTAATGCTTTGCAACATCTATATTAGCTTCTGTAAGAAGTTGTTTTATTTCCGAGTGTTCTAACTTAGACAACTTCCGATACATCTTTAGTAGGAAATAAAAAAAATATTTTTGAAAAAATTAGATTAGATTTTTTTTTAGTTATTTTTCAAAATAATTTAATATTTTTATTTTAATGAAACACATGCAAGATTGCAAGTTCTTTTCATACAATGCTCTCGCTAATGCCATCAAGAATGAGTTCAATAATGCTTCAAACGTTAATGTTATCTTTAACAAGAAGTTTGTGAAAGAATCTAAGTTTGGTCAGTATGTCAGACCATTAGCTATCGTCATTGACCGCAAACGTTATACTTCACAAGAGTTAGCAGTAGTTTTTGAAACAAAAGAGTTTCTTCGTGAATGTCAAAGATACTCATTATACTGTCATAAAAACTCTAACATTGACTTCTTCAGTATTGCTATGAATCTTTCCGAACAGAAAGAATATAAGAAGGGTGAAACAAATGTGAAATATTATCCTTCATCTCTGAAGACAATAACGAACAAAGATTCATACAAAAGTTCTTACCAAAGGTTGAAGAAGCTTCAATTGACATTGACGAAGGAAGTGAAATGGTTGAAGAAATAGACCCTGAAGCTATTTAAGCAAAAATATATTTTTGAAGAACTGAAGGTGTCACCATGTCACCATGTCACCAGGTCATTTAACTTCTCTGAAAAAATGAGACAACATGACATTTTGACAACACAGGAGGATGGCAGTTATGAATTATTTTTGAAGAACTGAAGGTGTGTCACCATGTCACCAGGTCATTTAACTTCTCTGAAAAAATGAGACAACATGACATTTTGACAACACAGGAGGATGGCAGTTATGAATTATTTTTTGAAGAACTGAAGGTGTCACCATGTCACCATGTCACCAGGTCATTTAACTTCTCTGAAAAAATGAGACACAATGACATTTTGACAACACAGGAGGATTAATGCAAAAATAAATTCCAATCATACTTTATAAAGCATCATTTACAGGTATTTCATCGTCAGTAAATGAATCCTCATTATCGTTTGGTTCAACCTGTTTATATAATCCTTTCATTTCTTCTTTCATAACACAAACATAACACATGTTTGTTTATCGTCTATTCTTCTCTGTTTCCTATCACAATTTATCCTTAATGCTCATTTGGAAATTCTTGTCTTTCATGTCTGATGGTTTGCAGAATAGAGCATTTTTACATATCATACCTGCACACAATTCATCATAATGTGTATTTATCCATACATCTAAAAGGATTTGTTGATAATTCTATTAAATCTTGTTTGGCTTTAGTCATCGGTATGATTCGTACATTAAATGATGAAAGGTCGTAATTGATAAAATATGTTAAAAGGTTATCATAAAATTCCTTTGTGCATGAATCCATTAAATTCTTGAAGTAATCAAATTGACCCTTGAATTTACCATTAACTCTTAAAACTACGTATCTTCTGTCTCCAACTTCAATTTTGACAGGGTAAACGTTATTAGTTACGAAAATGAAGTTTGCAACGTTCTGAGCAGTTCTTCTGGGTTGATTCTTTTCATTAATTCTAATCTCATTATCCGTTATAATTGATTTCAAAGCGTTGAAGTTTGCGAGTCTGTCTTCACCAACATTCTTGAGTTCATTAAGTACAAGAAACATTTTATTTTCAACTACTGAATTGAAATTACCCGTTAGCTCACCTATTTCGGTAATGTTTTTACATGAATAACCGGCGAGAAGTTCAGAAATAATATCCGTGAATCTGTTTTTACCTGTTCCCTGAAGTCCTTTCAAAATAATTGCTGTTTCATTCTTGATTCCAGGATGTTGAATCATTGATGCAATCCAGCCGAGAAGGTATTTATACACTTCATCGTTATTATCGCATATGACTTCTTTAATGAAATCCATAAACATCTCAATTTTTGAGTAATCTACTTTTTCGAGAATGTTGTATTTATAACCCTGAAACGTTGAGAAAACATCTGGGGAATCAGATTTAAAGCAAACACCCTTAACGGTTAATGAAGACAATTGATTTAGTAGTACGTCCCATGCTGTTATTGTTTTACCTTCTTCTTTAAATAACTTAATCATTTTAAGTGACTCTTTCATGTTTGATTGAAGAACGAATGATATTTGATTCATTTTGTCGTGTATGTTGTAATCTTTCTGAATGAAATATTTATTTCCACAATCTACAAAACGGATTACACGTGATAAATCCTCAATTACTTCAGAACTGTTTTTATACTGATGATTTTCAGCCTTGCGTCTAATATCTGTTATCAAAAACGAGTCATCAAGTTTGATATCAAATGTTATTTTTGGCTTGCGTAATAAAGGCAAAACGTATTCATCATAATATTCCTTTTGATATAGTTTTAGAATCTTCACTAAAACAAATGGAGAAGTCATTAAATGTGCATATCTACTACGTGCTTTTTCAAAATTACTTTTTGCATTTTCTGTTAAACTGCAGAAGTTATAAACATTATCGTATGCTTCATTAATTAAATGATTAGGTAACGAATTAATTGCTTGAAACAGTGTGAATAATGTAACTTCTTTTTCTAAATTCATGTTTCCACCGTCATTATGTACTTCAAAATCACAGATGCCATCAACTATGCTCTGGGCAAGTTTATCGTCAATGTTTACATCTTTGTTTTCATTCATGATAGTCTTTATTTCTTCATTCTTCTGTTCAACTCTTACCTTAATATTCAAATCATTTAATATATCATTCACTGTTCTGGTTAATGTTGAATCGTAACTTCCGCGAATGAATGAGTATGTATTGATTGGTTCTGTTGCATTCTTGCGAACTCTTGAATCAGCCATAACCACTAATGAACGCTTTGAATCATCCATAGAAGTCATTATATCAATATCATAATCATTGCAGGAATAACATTTAATCATTCTGTTCGAAACTGCATAGAAGAAATTAGTGTTGCAATAAATGTGAAGACCTCCTGAAGCGGTTTTAACGATAACATCTTTATCCGAAAGTTTTGATAAAATGTCTTTTCTAACTGTTTCTTTAAGTTCATCATTGTACGATTTATTGATATCAACATCTATAATCGTTAAATTTGAAATTTTATTTACTAATAAAGCCATACCAGTTTTCCTTCCTCTTCCTCCATCATGTTTGAGGTAGTTATGTAAATCAATCTTGTTTTCACCAATTCTTTCGTTGAGGGTTTTAGTTTCTGCCACAACTAATTCCTCAACTAATGAATCAATAACTTTTTCATCAGAAACGATATAGTTGCTGTTGTTGTTTGTTGCCGTCATTTATATAGGAATAAAAAAATAAAAATAATTTTAAAACTAACTTTATTTTTGGACTGCATCATAACTGCCATCCTCCTGTGTTGTTGTCAAAATGTCATGTTGTCTCATTTTTTCAGAGAAGTTAAATGACCTGGTGACATGGTGACATGGTGACACCTTCAGTTCTTCAAAAATAATTCATAACTGCCATCCTCCTGTGTTGTCAAAATGTCATGTTGTCTCATTTTTTCAGAGAAGTTAAATGACCTGGTGACATGGTGACATGGTGACACCTTCAGTTCTTCAAAAATAATTAATTATTGAATAACCTAAAAACATTAACGATAAAATATATTTTTTGGTGAATTCAATAAAAATAAATGGTTCATTTACTCACAATATTTTTTTACAAAACGACCCCAAACTTTTAACTTCTTTTCTGCAGCTTCAAATGCTATCTTAGCGAGTTCATATTCTCTAAATTCTCTCTTTAAATCTTCTTGTTCCCATTGGTCTAGTTCGTATGGAGAATCTCTATAACCATAATATATCTCACGTTCATGTTCTAATTGTTTTTCACACATTTTTCCAACTTCTTCTTCGAACAAAGGTTTAGCATTCTCCACTGTATCTTCGAGTTCTTCTTCATCTAACTTCTCATGAACTTTCTTGTCTATGGAGTCCATAATATCTTTGACATAAAATGCATACTTTACAGAGCACCATTCAGCAACAAAATGAACGAGGTCAGCATGTATGTAAATACCTTTGAATTCATTCATAACGCCCTTAGTAAGCTCATAAAATGCTTGTTTTGAGGTTGAGCCACTTTTGGCTCGACCGTATTCTTTCAACCAAAACTCAAGAATTTCCTGCATTTTAGCACTATTGAGAAATCTGTTTAAATGGTTTAACTTTCCTGCTTCTCTTGCCATCTTTGTTGCATTAATGTAACCATCCTTGTCTCTACGTAAGACTTCAATACCGTTATAAGTGCCTTTTGTGAATGTTTCACCATTAGATTTGTTCGTGAATGTTTTTGCTTCGACTGACATTTCTGTTCTTACATACAAAATAAAAAAATAAATAAAAATAAAACTAACTTTATTTTTTCTATCTTAAGGAAATTCATGAAAATTCACGAGGGTGAGAAAACAGGTGAAAAAACAGGTGAGATCTCACCTCTTCACCTAAATTATATTTTTGTCTGATTTACATCTAATGAAAAAGTTTAGAAGAATTTTCTTATTCTTTCTGGTATATTTTTGTCTTTCCAGTACTCCCGCTCTAATGGTCCCAGATGTGTTGGCTTCGACTCTCTCAAGTTCTTAGATGGTATAACATCTTCAACGCCTCCTTCATATCTTACTTTATAAGTGTCATCGTTTGTGTTATAGCCAAGTATTTCAATAACCACTCCTCGCTTTGCTTCGTCAATGGTTTCAGCAAGTTTGCCATTACTACTTTCGACTAATTTATGTCGAGGATAAAACGCAATAGAGTCGTCGGCAGCTTTTATAAGATATCCATTACCTTGCGTAGAGTCTACGATATAATAATTTCGACTTAACCTTAAACGTTTCTTTGTCAACGGTTTGTCGTCAAGAACTACACGAACTTTTGTACCAGGAATGAGGGTAAATTGTGTTGAATTTCTGATATTTTGTGTTTGGCTTCGTTTCTTTTGTATATACTTTTCTTCTTGTTGTTGTGTCATTGAATTTGGTGTATGTCCTGTTGTAGAATGTGTTGAGGAATTATATACTTCGAGAAAATGTTTCATTGTTTCTTCGGTAAAGTCTCGCTCTTGGTTTAAATCTCTGAGAGTCCTTATGAAGCGGTTTATGATGCCGAGTATGTTATGGTTATGGTCTTCAGTAGTGTAGTGAGTTATGTTATGCTTAATGAGAAATTCTGTGATTTCATTGCTGAGGTATGCACTGTCTTGGTCTGATGTTAAAGTACTTGGGTTATGTTCTGCTACAAACTTTTGTAAAACTCTTAACACTTCACGAGTTCCTTTATTTTTCATTGGATATGCATATGCTTTACGAGTGTTAACATTTATGAAGATGAGGAATGGTTTATGTCCTCCTTTTCTGCTTTGAATGAGAGTGTCAAATTGGTATGCGTCAGGAGCGTTGGAGTAAATTGGTAAAAAGTAGTCGTAAGGGTTTATTTTTGTTTGATGTACAACATTTTTGTCAAAGAACCTTTTCACTTCAGCTCTGTTAGTAAATCCCAACTCTTTGCAGCTTCATTGAACTTCTTAAATGACCTCCATGGATGTTGTTCGAATACTTCTTTCAAGCTCATTTATGTAAAGTTAAAGATTTTAACCAACTCGTATCCAAGCGTGCATTGTTATATAAGGAGGCATATAATCTTTTCCATTACCTGCTGGGTCTGTAATACCAGCTACAACATGTGTATGATTTCCTGCAGTTCCACAGAAAATACCTGTGCTTGAATCTACTGGGTCAGTTGAAATATCATATCTATGCATTCCCTGTCTATCCGAACCCGCTGCAAGATTTGTATAACCTCTTTTGTTATTGAATGTGAATGGTTTCCTTCCACAGATGTTCTTCCACTGAACCTATGCATATGTGAAGGAAGGTTTTCAATACCTATTTTCTTTGAACCTCCCATCTTCATTGACTGCGTATTAGTGTAGAATGGAAAACTGTCAACTATTTCATACCATCTACCACCAAATAAAGTGTTTGGATTTATTGGATTCATAGACGTATAAACAGCTCCTATAGGATATATTAAATCATATATGCTCATAACTCTATAAACATATTCTAAAGAACTTATGTCATTAAATACCATTTGGAATGTATCTCCCGGATGAAATGTTGCATTTGTTCCACTTTTATAATGTAATGTTAGTTCAATAGAATTATCCAAGAAAAATTCAAAAGTATCTGGTTGAAGACCCTCTAACAAATTCAAATGGAGTTGCTGGTTCACCATTTATAATTTCTGTTGTAAATGTCATTGTATCTGGTTTCGAAATTTCTTTGTTAGTTCTGCATCCACATAAGTTTTATCTGCTTTCTTATCTAACATTGTTGGTAGTTCATGTGCTTCAAAGTTTCTGGCATGACTTTCAATGTTCCTGCAACTCTTATCTAAACTGTTAAGAGTATCTTTTACGCTTGTACTTGGATTCTCTAAAGGTGCACTTGAACCAAGGTCAAAGTTCAATATTATGTCATCAGCTCTAACAGTAGTGAAGGATTTATGTGTATGGTTCTTGTCAGCTTTACTGTCTAATGTAGCTTGAAGTTCATTTATATCGGAGATGTTGTGTTTATGAGATTTCAAAACTTTGTTCATTGCTTCGAGTTCAACTTTTTCAGCTTTACTTTTAATAGCATCTTCAAACGTTATTTTTGCCTTAACTCTCAAAGTAAATCTTGGTTCAACTAGTACACCGTTAACATTGAAAGTAGAGGCATAAATTTCACAGGTATAACCAAATGCTTCTGGTGCTTTAGCTACATCATACTGTACAGTACAGCTTATGTCATAACCTTTAGCACGAATGTATTTATATCTTCTTTCATTAACATTTTTTGTCTTCGCTTCATCACTTCGTGTTAAATATCCATGGTAGTCCGTTATAATCTGTTCGTCTGAAGTTATATAATGAACATGGTTCTTGTCCGCTTACTATTTAATGTAGCTTGAAGTTCATTTATATCGGAGATATTGTGTTTATGAGATTTCAAAACTTTGTTCATTGCGTCAAGTTCATTTTTGTCCGCTTTACTATTTAATGTAGCTTGAAGTTCATTTATATCGGAGATATTGTGTTTATGTTCTTTATCTGCTTTTTCGGCTAATTTCTCTTCTATCTCATTTATTTCAAGTTCATGCCTACCACCACCTCCCGAAGAAGTATTTTTCTTCAGCTCTTGAAGAACATCCACTTCGCCATCTTTGGTGTCAATAATGAGACTTTGTGTTAAAACCTTTCCTGTCTTAATGGATGTTTGTAAAACTTCTTCACCGTGTTCGGGGTCATGGTCGTCATCATATCTTGTGAAATCAGAGATGTTGTCATACATTAAGCATATCTGTCTCAAAAGTTCTGCTATTTGAAACTGGAACGAAAGATATACAGAACTTTCATCATCTCCTAAAGTCAAGTCTGCTTTCTTAAGTATTTCTTGAATGTATGCAATGAGAACAGAGTACCTTGGAAAATATTCGAACAATATTTCATTAGCTGTTGGTTTTGGTGGTTCTTCTGGAGTTTCTGTTGTTTCAGTTCCTTCTGTAGGTTCTGTTGGAGTTTCTGCATCTCTTGACTTCAATGCTCTTGCTCTCAAAGACCTAAATGTTAGAGCACCAGGTTTTACAAAGGACTTTATAAATGCTTTAATAGTTCCTGGTAAGTTATTGTTAGCATTAAGTAAGTTCCTTATGCTTCCATCATGTACGTCCATAGCACTATGTAAAAAATCTATACTTTTCTTGTAGTCAGCAATAGACTGACTGTGATTTTTTAAAGATTTGTCAATACCTTTAAGCCAATCTTCATGCATGTCTGATACTGAGCCAAGAATATCATTTGCTTCCTTTAGTGTATTTTGTGCTTGTCGTAAAGTATCCAATCCCGTACGTGCATTGTTTGCTATACGTCTTACAGTATCTATTTGACTCCTTGTTTCTTGCATCCAACCAGATAAAGTTTTAATAGTATCCGAACCATTTGAAATGAAGTTCAAAGCATTTTTAACGTCATTTAAAACTTCTTCACCAAGTACTGCCCATATCTTTCCGATTTGGTATTGAAGAACTCCATATGAAGCAGCTGTTAAACCAGTATTTATAAGGTCCCATATCCATGATTTAGCAGTTTTTCCATCCTTTCCATCCTTTCCATCCAAACCGTTTTCGCCTTGAGGTCCTTGTATTCCTTGTATTCCTTGTATTCCTTGTATTCCTTGTGGTCCTTGAGGTCCGGTGTCACCCTTCTCTCCTTTCAGTTCATCTTTATGTTCGTTATAATATTCTAATGTCATAAGGTGTACATCATTACTGCTACCAGCAACGCCGAGAATTTGTTTCTCATTCATGACTAAATTCTTTAGGCATTTAATGTTGTCGTCAAATCGAAAGCTCTTTAACAATTCAATGAGAACATTTAATACTTTCACTAATGAGGCATCTACTGTAGAATTTATATATTGCACCGTTCCATCATTTATAATAGGAACTTTACTTGTTGTAATGAATGGGTCATAAGTGTTAAAAGTATCGAAATCAATGACTTTTTTAGTTTTTCCATCGTCAATGACTAAATCATTGCCTTCAATGGTTAAAGTTGAGTTTTCGTTTACTAGTTCATGTGCTCTTCTTGCTTCATTTGTTTCATACGCATATGCAGCAATAGTCATATTTTAATGAGAATAAAATGTTGTTCTATTTGCAAAGTACAGACCCAAACGAATATGGAACAGTAAAGCTTCAAACAAACTTAGGTCTACAGAATGAAGCACTTGCTTTCAGAGTTGTTGACTTCAATACTATCGCAACTTTTGTCATAACAGATGAAACAGATTTCATGGAGTTTGAAATAGATGGAAAGAAGCACGAAATAAGATTTCACAATAATGTAGAATATAAGATGGAAACATTAGCTGGAGTGTTAAATGCTCTCATAAATACTACAATAAACAAGGATAACGAAGAAAACTTAATGAATGTTAAACTTATTGCAGGAGTTTTGAAGTTCAGTTATGCAAAGGAGTTTAAGATAACACGAATGAGTCATAGAGTTCAATTGCTTCTGGGAGCATACCATATGACATTTCCTTTGAAAAGTGTTGACAAAACGATTGAGATGAAATCTGTTCCATACGTATGTTATGGTAATTGTTTATACATTGAGTCAAAAATAGCTAATGTCACAGGTATTTCAGGAGTTAATAGTAAAGGTTCAGTAGAATATAAATCTTTCTGTTATGCAGTCAATTCAATGTTCATTCCAAACGTTCCTGTCATAGCAACTCATTTAGGTAAATGGATTCGCATTAGTCCTCATAATTTGAAAGACATGCAATTCAGACTTGTTGACTTTCAAGGCGAGCCTGTAGAACTGAAGGCACCAGTGCGAATGACTGTTGAAGTTGACTTTTTAGAAAATATTAAATGCAACAGCTTACAAGAGAACTCAGAGCTAAAAATATAAAGTATGAATGTTATGTATTAGGTCATGAACTTTGGTTATTGCTGTTTGATGAAACAAATGAGTTAGTTATGTCAGTCAAGAGAACAGAAAAAGGCGTCAAAGGCGCCGAGCGCAAAGCGCTATATTGTGTTAGTGAAAACTGCACCAAGTCAATAAGATTAGGTTTGCATTATGAAGATGAGTTCGATACTGTTGAAGAAGTTTTGGATAGATATTACAAATTGCTTTAATTTACTAAAACATATTTCAAGCAAAGTTTATATTCTGTTGAAAGTTTTGTATACTCGTTCGAATATTTATACTTAAACTCAACTCCTGTAGTTCCTGGTGTTTCAATGATGCGGATGTTACCTATTTTCATGAATGGTGGCGTTTGACCACAGCATTCGATTTCAGGGTCGAGATAGTCAATGACACATTGTTTCCTGTTATTCGTGATAACATTTTCAAGGTCCTCCTTTGTTAGAATTATTTGGTTCTTGCTTATAAGATTTGTCAAAAGCTTCTTATCGTCTTTGAGTAAAATTGTTTGGTATAACTGAAGAAGGTAATGGTCTACGTTATCTGAAGGATTTGTTTGAACATTTATGTAAGGTTGTCGTTGGCTTCTCTTGAAAGAATTTGGTCCAGTGGTGGATACTCTAACTTAACATCTGATGTAGCGTTAGCGTTTGAAGCTGAGTTTAAATTCACGGATTTCAGTTCTGGTTCTTTTTCTTTCAAACACTCTGAACTATAGTTCTTTATGACAATATTGTTTGTCGTTCGTGAGTCAACATTTGATGTTGGTTCAATTGGAACATTAACGGCACCAGCTAAGATGGATTTGCTTCTCATTTCATATAGAATAAAAACCTTTTATATGTATGAAATGAACAATACACTCGACAAGGGTTTGAATGTAAAGCTAACGAATGAAAATATTGTTGAATTCACTGAGACAGGAGCTGTGTATAAAGATGTAGAACTACTGAACAAAAGAGCTAAGGGAAGAAGCAGGAACATGAACAAAGGGTGGAAGCCTATAAAAATTTATGTCAATGATGGCTCAGGAGGTTCAAACATAAAGTATGCAGAAAGTTATAGAGTTTATGCTCTCAAGGGAAAAGCCTTCATTTAAGAACAGCTATTCTAACACATATCCTCAAAAGCTAACGGATGGGAAGTGGATGATATGAATGACAGCAAAAATATTAACAGAAATGGCGACAGAGATGCATGGAATTTGTTTACCATCAGTCAATTGAAGGTTAAACTTTAAAACAATGTTGGTCGTTCCCATGGAATATTTTTGACTTTAATGGTATTAGTCATGATATGAATCTCAAGGTATGAACGAGGAGAGATGAGAGACTTATATGCTTCCCAAATTTCTTCAAAAGGTAATGTTATACCTGACTGTTTCCAAATGAGTTCAATATCATAACGTGAGAAACCTTGAAAGATAACGAAGTCAGTTATGAGACGTTTTATGTTTAAAGCTAAAAACCTCCATGTTTGCATAAGTATTGCTACAGTTAAATGGTAATGTCTGACTTTAGTTATGATGTTAGCTAATGGTGAGTCAGGTTTTGACACTAAACCTTTTCCGGCGAAGTCGTCACAAACGAGCAGAGTGTTTGATGGATATTTTTTGAAGGGGTATTTTGAAAGTTTTGACAGAATGTAGTTTGTAGTCGTTTCATATCGTAAACTCCTGAGTATGACGTAAGTGGTGTTTGTCAATAATTCTTTCCATCTCCTCAGAAGTCTTTTGCATTCCTGACTGTATAAATTCAACGATGGCATAATATTTTCTTACGTCGAATGTAACGTTGAAGAAATTCAATGAGTTCACTGTCTGGAACTTTAACGACAGAGGCTTGAACTTTTGACATAAATGTTTTCGCTGTTGAGTCCATAGAGTCTGAAGTTGCTGATATAATGATTTGGTCATAGTAAGAGTCGTTTCCTAAACGCTCTGTTATGAGTATATGACGAATTAAATTAAATGTCTTACCTGAACCCATCTTTCCACAATAGAAATAACACCATTTGAACAGAACTCATAATCTTACTGAAAGGAAGAATAAGAGAAGAGTTAAGTTTGTCTGTAGTTTCATTCATGTCTTCATCTACGTCATGTATTAAATGCTTCATTTTATCTCCATTAAAAATGCAAGTCAGAAATATTCAGAACATAGCACCGAGTCTAACTGACAAGAGTATAAAGATATACTATGAACATGTTATGATGAAACCAACCAAAATTCAAGAAAGTCAGTATACTTATGAATATCCAAGACACTGGGTAGAGTATGTAGGAGGTGAGAAAGCTATTGAAATCAGACAGGTTCGAAGTATTCCAGCAGGAAGAACAATATTATTGAAGAACTTTAATGTTTTGAGATATAATGATGAAACAAAGAAGCAAGATAGTTTCCTGTTGCTGTGTATGTGAACTAGATACAGGAGATGACATGAAAGTTTTTAACACAAAGCTTCAAATGGTAGTGAGAGAACAACTGACTGCGGAAGGACATCCATTACCTTCAGAAGTTACCATAGCATATAATTTTGAAACAAACTCAATAGATTTTAAAGTCATCTCTGCAAAGAAGTCAGGTTTTACATTTAATGAAGCAGATGTATATTCGAATGAAAACTTCAAAGCTATTGCATGGTTAGATAATGACGATTGCTTTAAGAAAATATTTAAATTCAGTGACTCAAAGATGTCAATAGATGACCTTCGTGGAATGTTACCATCGACGTTTACAGTTGAAGGTCAGCAGGATTGCTTACAAGATTGTCAATTGGTGGTATTTGGTCTCGTGAGAACATTGTTATAAAATCCAGTATAAGTGAATTTGCTGAAGAATCTATATTATGTCTTTCAAACTACATGTATTCGCCACCGAAGCATTATAGTATAACAAACTTTGTCAGTAAGTTTAACATAAGACTTGTCGAACCTTCTTCAATGAAAGATGTTGTGCTACCTAAAGATGGAAAGGATGGACTCATTATTGAGATGATTTTAATAGCATATTAAATGAGCTTGTTCTTGAAGGTCATTCATGATGAAATAACTGTTGTAGAAGATGTTAGCAATTGTTCAGACATTTTGAAGCGTATAGATGATATAAGAAATAAGTTAGATAGACCGCAAAGCGGTGAGGGAAGCCCGTGAGAACGCTTATGTTTCATTGACTTTCTCCAGTAACGAGAACTTTTATGAGATAATATTGAAGAGAGATGATTTTAATATGGTGTAAATGGTAGCTTGGGCAGCTTTAGGCGCAATGGGAACAAAAGCATTAGCATTTGGAGCAAAAGCACTTGGAGCTTATGACGCAGTAAATAAAATGAGTGGAGGAAGGGTTTCGAAGACATTAGATGCAAATAAAGGGAAGATTGGAGGCTGGGTTGCAAAGAAGTTAAGATTAAATAAAATAGGGCTCATAAATAAAGCATCCAATTTGGTTGCGACTGAGTCAGAAAATGCTTTAGGAAAGGACGATGAGTTTGCAAAACACGCAAAAGACTTTAATGACCAGATGAAAGGTGAAACAATGCATTTAAATAGAGTCGATGGAACTCTTCTCCACCAGTAGTTCTTCCGTATGGTCCTATGGAATGTATGGAAACCCTTACGAAAGACCATTTACCCATTGACTGGTGGAAGTAACTGGTATCATTACGGACGAAGAAGAAAGACAGTCAAGTTGGAGACAGACGTGAAGAAAGCAACTAAAAAGAAACCAAGGAAGAGAGTTATAAAGCAATGAATTCAACAGGGTGAAAAGAGGTGAAAAAAAGGTGAGATCTCACCGCTTCACCTAAATTTATTTTTGCGCTATGTTTTCATACGTGTGGGAGTGGTGATATCATTTATTTTTTTATTTTATTTTTTATTTTATTTTTATTTTATTTGGATGTAAATGACGAAAACTATTGAGATAACAAACTACAACGGTCATGAGTTCAAGAATTTGTTCTTCGTTCCTCGTGAAAATACATTCTATCAGATACGAGGGAGAAAGGGTAAAGTTAGTTTGAGCGTTTATGAAGGAATGAAGAATGGAAAGTTTATACAAGCATACGATACAAACGGTAAACGTGTTTCATTAGCTTTGTCAAAACTTACTAACATTTATTTTGACAGTGATTTTGACCTATATGAAGAAGAAAGTGAGTCAGAAGATTATGAGCTGTTATGTGAAGCACAGCAATGGGAAGCGCTGCAATACTTTTGTAAGTGAGAACGTTTATTTTTACAGTAGTGAAGTCGTTTGTGAAAACGTTAGTGAAGTGAAGTGGTTGGCGGCTTTGTAAATATTTAATGTTAAGTTAGTGTTGTCGTTGTGTTGTAAAATATACGTTAACGGTTTTGTAAAGTGTCAAATTCACATATCAGGGGTAAGGAGACGCGCAGTGCCTCAGTACACTTGATAACCATACTAACTGATCTTCATGCGGTGTGTTATTATTGTACTCCCAAATAAAGGCAGGAATAGCCTGAATGCTTTGGCAGCGCTCCAATGTCGGCCAGAATCTCTCAATCTTCCCATTTTGGTAGGGAGAATGAGAGTCTGTATGCTGCCATTGGACGCCCCAAAGATCAAGTAGATCTTGAAAGGCGCCCCTATTTTCTGAACCGTTGTCGGTCCAGAAACAATAAGGGGCGCCAAATTCAATGAAGGCGGAAGCCGCAACGTTTGCTGTCGTCGCTGCCAGCATATCTGGTATTTGTATACACGCTAGGACTTTGCGGCTAAAATCGTCGATTATGCCATAAATATACTGGCCACGAACACCCCTAAAATAATGAACATCTGCGTGCCAGATAAGATTGGGTGAAAGCGCCCAATATCTTACTGCTGTTTCTGGCCCGGCATGCTCTAATCGCGTCTTGGTGAAATGATTTTCTTTGAAGTATCTGCGTATTTCTCTATAAGATACATCAATTTGTTGTAATTTCAAACGTTTCCATTGTTTTGTTTGACCACAGGGAAAGGCCCAGTGGTCATGTATCACAGCAAGAGCTTTGATTTGGTCGTAGGGATTGACCCTACGACCTTTCTTGCCTTTAGGCAATGGGATATTCTGTAAGCTAAATTGATTTTGTAAAAAAGATTTTGAAACATCTAAATATTTGAAATCATTTGATTGAAGGGTTGGGGTGATGGGAACATGGGTGCAAGCTTCTTCCCATGTCATTTTACCTTCTTCAATCTGATTGGAAATATAGGGTGTCCAAAGGTGTGTTTAGCACAAACCTGAATACTGCGAATAGAAATAAACAAGTTACATATATATAAAGTTTATTTAAATATAATCACCATTGGATCCAATCACGCGTTCGCAGCGATCGATCCAGGCTTGAAAGACACGCTTTAAATCATCATGAGAAAATTGCTCAAATTGCTCTCTTACAAAATTTTCAAGATCATCTGGACTCGCGAATTCGCGTCCTTCAGCTCTCTTTTTTAGCGTGCCGAATAAATAAAAGTCAGAGGGTGCAATATCAGGTGAATAAATTGGGTTTGGAACAACTTTGACATTGTTTTCCACCAAGTAATTCATTACCTTATGACTTTTGTGAACTCTTGAATTATCAAAATGAATTGCAAACTTTTGTTTTTTTGTTTGGATTTCTCAAACTCATCAGAATTGATAATTTGAGTAAGAACATTGTCAATTAGATACTGAGCATTCATCGTATTAGGTTTTTGAAGAATATCAATTGCGATGATGCCATTCACGCCCAAAAAAACCGACAACATCATCATTGGTGTGTCAATTTTTTTCTTCGGGAATGTTTGCGGATTTTCATCCTTCGGGATCCACATGATTTTGGCTTCTGTTGCATATTGAAACCAAGACTCGTCCCTGTTACTGCGAAACTTCTTGGATTGATACGCACCCATATAGAGAGGAGCTCTTTCGAAGATTGGACTCTAGATTTTTTTTGAACTGAATTAAGGTTGTGCGGAACCCACGTGTATACGCTAGTTTGTAGTTCAAATAATTGTGCAGATAATAATGACTGTTGTACGTGGTATCTTTGTCATCTCCTTATCCTTCTGAGTGATGCTCTTGGGTCTTCATCTAGCGCTTGAAGAATTGCTTTGATTTTTCTTTGATCCGGCGATTTTTTGTCAATTTTTATGATGGGCGCCTTTTTTTGTTCATGAAGTGATACATCCTAACATGATACGTTACAGTGGAATAGCTAGGATCATCCATACCGAAGCATTTTACCAATGTCTCGTAGATTTTTTTACAGTCTTTGCATTTTTTGCAAGAGCGAGGATGTTCTTTATGATTCATTAAAAAAATGAAAAAATCCGCCAAAATTTCCCGCGAAACCGCCTCTTTCTCAAAATTCATTTTATATCCCAGCATGGCGCCAAAATACAACATACTCATCATATACATATATTCATATTTTTTATTATATATTTATAATCAGCATATATCTCCTTTAATAGTCTCATATAGAGCGCTGTGCTAAACGCACCTTTGGACACCCTATACCAATTAGGTAAATTCGATCTACATACCCTTTGTAAGGATTCATTCTAATGAAGTACGTTAACAATCAAAATATCCTATAAGTGTCTAGTATGGAATTCAAAAGAATAAAGAAAATGGTAACGTAAATAAACGTATTATGAAATAATTTATAATTAAAATGAAAAAAAGAAAAAATAATAAGTAAAGTGACTGGAAATGAAAATGAAAATCAGTGTACAGTTTTATTTTTTCTCGCTGTGAACGTATTCGGTCTTTTTTTTAAAAATTAATTTTTTGTTAGAGATAAAGCTAAAACTCGTAAACAACTTCTTTATGTCTAGAAAATTCTATCTTGCCTTTTATTTTTTTCTCGCTGTGAAACGTATTCGGTCTTTTTTTTAAAAATTAATTTTTTGTTAGAGATAAGAGCTAAAACTCGGTAAACAACTTCTTTATGTCTAGAAAATTCTATCTTGCCTTTTATTTTTTTCTCGCTGTGAAACGTATTCGGTCTTTTTTTTAAAAATTAATTTTTTGTTAGAGATAAGAGCTAAAACTCGGTAAACAACTTCTTTATGTCTAGAAAATTCTATCTTGCCTTTTATTTTTTTCTCGCTGTGAAACGTATTCGGTCTTTTTTTTAAAAATTAATTTTTGTTAGAGATAAGAGCTAAAACTCGGTAAACAACTTCTTTATGTCTAGAAAATTCTATCTTGCCTTTTATTTTTTTCTCGCTGTGAAACGTATTCGGTCTTTTTTTTAAAAATTAATTTTTTGTTAGAGATAAGAGCTAAAACTCGGTAAACAACTTCTTTATGTCTAGAAAATTCTATCTTGCCTTTTATTTTTTTCTCGCTGTGAAACGTATTCGGTCTTTTTTTTTAAAAATTAATTTTTTGTTAGAGATAAGAGCTAAAACTCGGTAAACAACTTCTTTATGTCTAGAAAATTCTATCTTGCCTTTTATTTTTTTCTCGCTGTGAAACGTATTCGGTCTTTTTTTTAAAAATTAATTTTTTGTTAGAGATAAGAGCTAAAACTCGGTAAACAACTTCTTTATGTCTAGAAAATTCTATCTTGCCTTTTATTTTTTTTCGCTGTGAAACGTATTCGGTCTTTTTTTTAAAAATTAATTTTTTGTTAGAGATAAGAGCTAAAACTCGGTAAACAACTTCTTTATGTCTAGAAAATTCTATCTTGCCTTTTATTTTTTTCTCGCTGTGAAACGTATTCGGTCTTTTTTTTAAAAATTAATTTTTTGTTAGAGATAAGAGCTAAAACTCGGTAAACAACTTCTTTATGTCTAGAAAATTCTATCTTGCCTTTTATTTTTTTTCGCTGTGAAACGTATTCGGTCTTTTTTTTAAAAATTAATTTTTTGTTAGAGATAAGAGCTAAAACTTTGCAGACAACTCCCCCATGTCTAGCAAATTTAACATTCGTCTCCCATTTTTATATATTTGGTTTAGAATGTTCGAAAATGCGTAATATGGTCATTAATATTAATTGAAAGAACCTTGAATTAATTCAATCTGATCTCACAAAATATTTTAAATTACAAACTTTGTAGTTTGAATAGATAATTAGTATTAAACTCAAATAACTAGTTTATTTTTGAATAAAAATTATTTGAATTTATTCAATTTTGTGAATTTTCCTTCAAAAATCAAGTTTAAATATCTTATTTGCCATATAATTATAAATACAATGAAACATATTCGAAATTGAAAAGAACGACTTTTTCTGTTCTTTCAATCATTCAATTTGAATTTTGCAATATTGGATTTCTCATTAAATAGCTATTAAAAACAACAAGCAATTTAACTTACATTCAAATTTATTTGTGTTATATTCAATCTTCTCAAAACTTATAATTTTCGGCTATAGCATGATTATATGCTATATAATATAATAAACCTATAATAGTATCATTCTTTCAATTATTTGAAGAGAAAACCGAAAAAATCTATTTTCGGTCTATAACAGTTAGTTTATTTTCTCGATGAATATGCAATAAAATTTGATTTTTACCTTATCAATATACTTCATATAATATACACATG